GTATAGCTCTGGAGATTAAATAAAGGGTTCAGTTCTGAATTCCCAACGCTACCCAGATCGATATACACATGAGGAAGGCCGGGTGACACAACGACCGAAGCGATATGATAACAACAAAGATGAGGACAATAGACCGAAGATAAATAGTACAAATAATGATAACTCCTCATCCCAGGAAATCCGACAAACATTATCATTAGTTGTGCATTCATCTCGGAGATGGTGGTGGAATTAAGTGACAGCATCTGTAATATTTCCAATTGTCTTCGAAACTGTTCAAGAACTGTTGATTTTCGAAGCATAGCTTTGATGTGGCATAAGACCGAATGTGAGCATTGAACTTATGACTCAGTAGTAACCGTTCCAGCAAAACAAGCTTGCTAACCATTACACCACGTCGGAGTGCCCAAAACTGTTCAAAAATGGCATCATAGGAAAGATTTTGGAGTTTTAATTATTTATTTTCACTTTCACTTTCAATTTCACTTACATTCACTAAGAAATGCGAGATATTAATTGGACTATACATCTTTTCTCACCAAAATAAAAAAAAAAAAACTCAAGTGTCAATCAAGATAAAAGATAACTGAATGCAGTGTATAATATGAACGCAAGATTATGAAGATATGTAGGATAGATAACAGTTGACCTTAGAAATGAAGACGTTATTATTGTAGAGATCGGCGATTGGAGTTTTCCCCCCGCAACAGCTGTTATTTGGAAAGAAGCTTAAGGAAGCAACGCCCTTCTTACCAATGAAATATGAATGCAGGTTTTAGATGTAAATGCCTGCATTATTGGCGCTAAAGAATGAAACTCGTCTTAATAGTTTGCTGGGAAATATCGATAGAGTGATGATAAGCTTGCGAGTTTGGTCTTTGTAAAAAGGGTTGCAATGTGGAAAATAAATCATCTCCAGGCAAAGGCAACAAAACGATTTTTATTCTGTTAACGCTTGAAAGTGAGGCTTGGGCATCAAGATACAACCTTGTTGGTTTGATTAGTCTCTTGCAAAGATACTGAAAGGTAAAAGGGACCAGATACAATGGGTTGAAAATTATTTTGATTACCTTTAGCGAGGGCTAGTATTGAATTTCACTTGTGGTCTCAGGTGAAATCATTTCCCAATAAACGTTCAAGTTAAGGGGTTCATGAAGAGCGAATGCGATCTGGGGAAAATTCAGGGTCTGCTTGACGATTATGAAATAATACTAGTTTAGTTTTTGAGGCACTGAAAATTAAAATCCAATTTACCCAACAATGAGCGAATTCTGCTGAGAGAACAACTGCCAGCCTACGAACATCTTGAATTTTCGAGGTGCTCCTGTAAACTGTAGTATTATCTGCATAGACATTTATTAATGGCCTGAGAATCTTCCCAGTTTGATCGTTAAAAAAAGCAGAAAAGAAACAATCCATTGACTCGCTTTGATCTTTTGGAGAGATGTTAGACATTATTTATTCTTTTGTTTAGGTTCGGTCTGGAAATGGTGAACTGTGATATTTTCAAAGTTGCAAGCGATCTTAACTTTTGATATTCTAAAACAAAATTAAAGAAGAGGTTCCCAAACTTTTTTTTTTTTTATCTGAGCCGCATTTTCGAAATTAAAATTTGCTCGCGCCTAACCAAATTTTATATGATAAAAAAGTACATTTAAAAATTTTAAAAAAAATCAGAGGGAGGCTTAAAAGGAAGTAACCGCAGATTCGAAGTGAAAACATTATTATTACTTGATGTAATTAAAAAATATAACAATGATAAAATCGGTCAATAATTATTTATAACTAAAGATTGTTTCATTAAGACGGATCAAAGTCAGCAGTAAATAAATCAGTGTTATTGGTGAAAATTTATTTATTTCTCTATATAAGTCATGGCAATTAGGTGTGAAAAATAATATCGCTCAAATGTCGGCCAAATCTAAAAGAAAAAAAAATCATTAGACGCTTAAAATTAATTCACATTTAAATTCGGTTATTGGAACAGCATTATTTATACTGGGATTCGTGCATGCTATGTCAAATAATCCATAATAATATTTAAAATTTTGAAGTCATATCTATTTTTGGCATACACATTTTTTAAAACTGTCCGGCTTAACCGCTATCCACTTTTACAGCATCTATGACGTGCGTTGCGCCCTTTGGGAACCATTGCTTTAAGGTAAGGACTTACAACATTTGCTTGCATATTCGAATGCATTTATTTTTTAATAATTTCTCGAAAATTACCGGCCCTAACTATTAGTTCGTATTTTTGGCCTTAATTTGCTATATTCACTTATACCTAATGAGGATTTACTTTATGTATTTTTATAAAGTTTTATCTTCTCTTAATCTGACAGATGCCGTAGAAAAATTTGTCCAGATATATAGCGAGCGTGAAGCAATGTGCAATGCATAAACGACATTCCTTAAAAATAAGTCCAGATATAATGCGTGCTAGGGAAAAAAAAAAGCAGATTCGCACCTCTCATTAATGATGCATAAATCCTGAAGTCAATCTTGTGTGGGGTAAATAACAGTGTACCTCTCTCGATCAAGAAAATTTAAGTCCAGATGTAAGGCGTGTTTGATGACATGAGCAATGCGCACCTCTCAGTCATGGAACATAATGTTCAGATATAAATCGTGCGCGACGCAAGTAGAAGTTCTCACTCGAAAGCAAGGTGTATTTGAATGTTAGTAGATTGTTGCCTAATGCTTGCAAATAGAACGGGGCCGCTTTGTGGAAAAAATCCAGCATTCGCGACCATTTCGTTGTGTTTTAGCATGACCAAATAAATTATATTATGTGGATTGGTTTGGTTTGGTTTGTTTTACGGCCTATAAACCTCACTGGGTTATTGTTGAAACTTGACTAATGCATGGAATAATAATGCAACACAAAATGTACTTAGAACAAAATATATTGAAACAAGAAATTGTACACAATATTTACATATAGTCTTTTGTATATTCCTGGTAAGACCGTTCCTGGAGAATGTGTTGACTGAGTCGCAGTCGGGCAGAGTCTCTGGTTGAATCTCTTGATTCCTTCCTCTCGTCTCGGTACCAACCGGGAAGAGAGGAAGGAATCTTTATATGGTCGGTACTCCACTATGCAAATTAGGTGGATCCTACCACAACAGTTATTTAATGACGACAACATTTTTATTTCTGGTAATATTTTTTCTTCAAAAAAGATCGTAATATCTTTTTTTTCCGAAAAGGTATTGCTGGTAATAATTTTTTTACAAATTATTTCTGGTATTAAACCGAACGTATTTTTACACTTACATAGTGTTTTGACCCCAGTTTGGGGGTTAACTATTTAAAAAAAAATCTTTTCTGGTAATAATTTTCCTTCGCTGGTAATATTTGTTTTTCAAAATTGTATAGCTGATATTTTAAAAAAAAATGTATGCAGGTAATAATTGTTTTACAAAGTATTTCTGGTATTAAAACCTATTTTTACAATTTCATAGTGTTCGGACCCCAGTTTGGGGGTTAACTATTTACCCAAATCTGGGATCCTAACTGATGCTAGCACCCAGGATCAGGGTGGACCTGGGAACATCAGCAATTAAGAGGTGGTTCCACGCTTTTCAAAACCTCCTGATCAAAGACCTTGCTGTTGGACGTAGTTTATCGTCTTACCCAGGACGATTATATTATTTGGAAATAATCAGTTATTTCAGGCACCAGTTTCGAGCCATTTTTAACTGTAATAGGCTTCTTATTTTATTTCGTTTTTTTTTCTTTTGGAGAAATTGCTTCTCTTTTCGATTCTTGTCTTTGAATTTTGTCAGAAAATCGAATATTAATTACTTAGTTCAAGTGGATAGCAATACCTTTACAGTTCTTTTTTTTTTTTTTGAAGTAGAGACTGTTTTTGTTACGGAACTATAGCTATATCAGGTATATTTTTCTTCTTTTTCATTTTGAATAAAACATTTTTTTAAGACATTTTGTATTCATTTTTCTCCGAAATAATGTCAGGTTTCATTATTGGCGGGAGCAATATAAAGTATGCATATGACACTTGATAGCAGACACAGAAATTAATTCAGACAGAAGGCAGTAAAGGAAAGCGATAATAAAGGACTAACCATCACTTGAAAGATGACAGAAAACCGGAGGCGTATTGAGAAAGTGAAATATGACTTTCAGAAGTTAAGTAAAGTATTAAGAAAGAGGAAAATTTCGTTAGAAAGACGGACAAGACTACTGAACTGTTATGTAATAAATGTCCTCTTATCTGGCAGTAAATGCTGAACAATGACTTCACAAATGAAGAGGAGACTTCATGCAAAAGAAATATGGTTCTACAGAAGGATGCTGGGAATATCATGTACTGAATATGTGAGCAACAGCTTTTACTTTTAGAAAAAATGGAAACAAAAAGGCACTTATACTTTGAATCAGAAAGATACAAATAACATTTCTAGGCTGCATATTAAGGAAAGATGGCTTCGAAAAGTTGACACTCACAGGACAGATTGAAGGCAAGGGGGGTCAGAGAAAAGCAACGAGTCCCCTAACTATTTACGTAAATAGTTGTCAAAACAGAGTTTAGAAGATATAGCAAAACAATAAACATTGATAATAGCTACAAAGGACAGGAAATCGTGGGGAGCCATGATCGCCAACGCCCTGAAGAAGACGAAATTGATCTGAATTAAATATAATTTAATGTTGCGTGTTTATTTAGACTAAAAGTAGTCGAGAAAATTTCACACTTTTCCTATTTTAATATCCCGATGAATACTAACTCTTAAGTTAATGAATAAGCTCATGGCGAGTTCTAAAACGATAAAATATCCGTAGAAATTCACTTATCGTTAAATACTTAACAAAATATTGCAATAATTATCATTAATATGAATGCCGGTCGTTATATTTTAGAAATAAGAGGCTACAAATAAAAAGATCTGGAAATGAAAACTTATCCATGTCGGTGAAAAAGATATTAAGTATTTCTTTCTTTCGTTCTTTCTGTTACAGAAAACAAGGCTTAAGACCACATCATGTTGAAACGCCAGTTCTCGTACGATCACCGACGTTAAGCAATGTCGAGATAGGTCAGTACCTAGATGGGTGACCGTTTGGGAATTCTAGGTGCTGTAAGCTTGGGTGTGCGGTTGGTGTAATGGATAATGGCTCGGAATTGTTAATCGAAGAGTCAAGTTCCAATTTTAGTTGGGTTCGTTATATTCACTTACGCGTAAATACCGTTGGGAAAAGTATGAATCCACTTAATCTCGCCCCCAGCTGTGGATTAATTAGTAAGGCTTCTATCACTAAAATCGTTATTATCCCCATACCGAATTGCCTACAAATACTTAAATTTCGTTATTAAATAACCAGTCGAGTTTGATTTGCCGCTAAATAAAAACAACCAAACACTTAATCCAAGTAGCATCTTTGATACATCATTTGTCTTTCACAACGATCCAAACGGAATAGTTGCTTAGTTATAGGGGATTAGCAGATGTTAAAACACTTTTTTCTTTCTTTATCGCTTGCTTACTTCTTTCTTTCTTTCTTTCTTTCTTTATTACTTGCTTCCTTTTGTCTTTCTTTCTTTCTTTCTTTCTATGTGAAGCCTCTCTGATAGATATTTTGTCTTTCTCAAAACGGAACTGCAGGAGACGTTAAACATCTCTATTTTCCCCTCCCTTTCCCTTTCCTTCCTTCCTTCCTTCCTTCCTTCCTTCCTTCCTTCCTTTCATTTTCTCATTGAAACTAAGTAACGTCTCTGTTACGCCTTTTTCGTTTTTCAACGCGATCAAAACGGAGATAGCGCATTATTTATGAGGCGTTTTACAGTCTGTAACGTTCGTGTTAATTAAAGGAGTTACAAGCAGGATTCTAAGACACTGAGTTCCAAATCGGCTGGCTCAATGTCACAGACGGCATATATTAATATTTTCTGTTATACTGTATACTTCTTTCAAATGTGAGACGTGTTTATTTTTTTCTGTTGATTTTTAGGCAAAATACCTGATCAATGAATTTTTTTTCTTCATATTTTTTGCATTTGCAAGCTGATATTGAATAATGGAGGGTTGATACAGCGGTCCAGATCAGATGAATCGGATTACCATGTACTTTTGGGTAAACGGTTTGAGTTTATTCCCAAGAACCACTAGTTAAACGGGATTTTGTCTTGACAGATGGCATGTAAACGTGCGCTGCCTTACGGAAAAGCCTATGGAAGTAAATCCAGACAGAATATCTGATATGGAGCAACCCAAGTCGGTTGTTTCTCAACACGGACAACGTATAAATAATTTCCATAGTTTTTTATTGTCCTAAGCGAATTCAACCACTTCTATAGCAATTTTCAATGGTATTTTGTCTCCGGTGTTGTTATTATAAAACTAACCGATAGTGTTCGGGACAATAAAAATTATGGAAAATCTTTGTACTACCTTATTCAAACAAAACGGAAAACACGTAAAGATGCTCGTAAAACTTAATAAAAACATGATTAAATCTACTTTGTCGGCCGTATTTAATGAAAGATGTTTGAAAGGAATGTTACTGCCGAAAAATACATTGACACACACAAACACACACACATCACACGCACACACACATACACACACATATATATATAACAGTGAACATGCAGAATTCATCAGGCATAACGACTGAGCCTAGCATGAAACAACCTGTCGCCTCTGAATGTTGACTTCAATGTTCACTTTTATATTTATATTTAGATACGGTCTATCTCTGATACTGAGCATTTTATCCCATAAATATAGCACATCGTAAAATTATATTTCTTCATACATATATATATATATATATGTGTGTGTGTGTGTGCGTGTGTATATCTGTGTTTGTGTGCGCGCTCGCGCGTGCGTGCGTAAAATTTCATCTGTAAAATAAAAATATGAATAAAAGACAAAAGGAAAACTCATCTTAATCGACGCGTTTCGTCCTCTGAGGGAGCTTGTCAAGGCAAATGCAAGAATCTTATTTCGTAACAAGAAATGAATTACAACAGCAAAAATGTTATTGCTATTGCAAAATTTTTAAATTTAAGAATGCTCATGAATATTAATTAGGTTAGCCAAAATGTCTAGGCAATCTATGGAGGACAAAATGCCTAATAGACGAAAGAGAATAAACGAACCTGATGAATATTCCTGAGCATTTTTAAATAAAAAAAAAAAAAAAAACTAATATCATTTTTAGACTTCTATATCCATACTTATTACAAAATAAAAACTTTGGAGGATGAAATGCATCGGATAACATGAGTTTTCCTTTTGTTTTTATATATATATATATATATATATATATATATACGCCTGGGAAAGGTATGAATCCTCTTCTTCTCCCTCCAGTTATAGGTAAATATCAGGACAGACTGGGTTCTATAGCCTTGGTTGGCAACTGGTCTAGGAGAAGGACAACTCTGAATTCAAAACCCGCAGAGGTTCATTCGGGGACCTTGTAGCACGTAGTGCACGAGGTCTCTGTATTCGGCCCTTCAAAAAGTATGGTTGGTTCTACACAAAGCTTTCACCACTACAATCAAAATCATATCTGCTAGTGTCTGGGCTATCAATTCCTAGGAACTGAGCTGGATCACCATCATACGTCGGATACAACGGAAGAGTCCATATATATATATATATATATATACATATATATATTTATATGTGTGTGTGTGTGTGTGTGTGTGTGTGTGTGTGTGTGTGTGTGTGATCAACAAATTAAAATGTATCTCAAACTTAATTCCTAGGAGCTTAGCTGCTGAACTGTTTGACCCTCATACGTCGAATAAGACGGGGAAGTCCACCATATATATATATATATATATATATATATATATGTGTGCGTGTGTGTATCTGTGTGTCTGTGTACCAGTTAATATTACTATTTACATTTCAGAATTAGTCCTAATCTATCCATCTCTCTATCTCAGTCTATTCATATCTATCTATCTATCTATCTATCTATCTATCTATCTATCTATCTATCTCATTCTGTTCATATCTATCTATCTATCTATCTATCTATCTATCTATCTATCTATCAGTCTGTTCATACCTATCTATCTATCTATCTATCTATCTATCTATCTATCTATCTATATATATATATATATATATATATATATATTAGTCTGTTTATACCGATCTATCCCAATCTGAATGTTTCGTCTCACACTCCCTCTTCCCAATACATTCTCTTCCGATTCTTTCTGCATTCTTGATGTTTCTTCTTCACTCCAATATTCTATTTCAAGTCTGAAATTATCAAATCTCTTCATACAACACCTGATTTTGCCATTTCAATTCCCAATTATTTGGCACGTTCTCTTGGGTAAATCCGTCATGAAGGCTTTCGACAGTAAATCATTCTCAATTCATCTCAATACATCGCAAGCAACTCATTTTATAAACTACTTCTAAATTAAATTCCTTACAATGCATTTGCCAGTATAAAATATTGCCGGAACATTTCATTAATAAATCATCGGCGATGGATTTATATAGAGCAATTTCATTAGATTCTAATGCAAAGAACTAACTATATACATACTCAGGCGACAGTATTCCCAGCAAGGGTGCCTCGGTGCTGCTATTGCTTACTGATGCTATTTGTGTGTCTGTTACTACTAAGTAGCTTTGACTGTCACTGCCTGCCCCCATATAAAATTTAACATTAAGAAAACCTAACAAGTCTTGAAGTAAGAGTGTAGGAATATCAAGAAACCGTGGCAAAACAATGAAATCATGCATGGATGATCATGTATAAAGAGAAAAGGTAGGTAAATGTACTGGGCTCACTACAATGGTCCGCTAAAATGTGTGTGGCATAGCGGGTATTAGCCGTGACGGTTAGAACTAGAGGAACTAACAAATGTCTTTTCTTTCTTCTTTTTATATGCCATGTCCTTTCAGGACGTAGGCGGTCACGGCTCTCCACATCTCTCAATCTCTTGCAGCTCTCAACAAGTTCATTTCCTTTGCTATTTTCACCAGACTACGTTCTGTCATCCACCTGCTCAAGCCCGCCAGGTATATCACGCGCTGCTTTCCCTTGTCTCACTTTTCCTCTATTCGACTCGTGAGCATCAGATTCTCTAGAACCTCCTTCCTCATTATGTGTCCCAGAAACTTCAGCTGCCTCTTCGTGAAGTTAAACACGAGCCTCCTCCTTGTCTGCATCCTCTCCAAGACCTCATCGTTGCCCACACGCTCGATCGATCATTCTGTAGAACTAAATCTCCATCGCTTCGAGTCTCTTCTTCATCCTTGAGGAAATCGTCCGGATGTCACGTCACAGCTCAGTATTATTTTCGTTGTTATCAAAGAAATCCTGTTGTGCGTCTGAACTCTTTCTATGGAGAAAGCGATAGAGCAAGCCAGAGGCTCCCGACGTTTGGTCTGTGGGAAAGGGGTTGTAGGGTGGAAAACATTCATCACCCAAAAGGACGCAAAGACGTTTATGGACTCTAGACCGGAAAGACGATGCAGCTACTGTCGGCAGTTCTCTATTTTCAGTCTGATATGGATCTTGTAATGGTGTAGAATAATTGGTGGAGTCTGGTACTTACTGGAGCGGTATAGCGAACCAACCATTTTCCCAGCATTTTTAGCAACGGATTGTATGTATGAGTCCCACTTTATGTGTGGGTTGAATTTAGTCTCAAGAGGCGCTCAAGCCTGCCTGTGAGAACAAACGTTCATCACGATCGGTAAAAATCCACCCTGTGATAATGGAACGTCATTATAGTAAGATGATTTTAAACGGATTAGAAAATTTAGTACATTTTTTATTGGTGGACTAGCGTACTATTACGTACTATTACGCCAGTTACATGCCGTGCGTGAGACCCGCTTAGGCAACCATGTACCTTTTAGGCCTTTATTCCCGCAGTACATTGCCATTTCTTTGTGCGGTAGACTAGTTGCCATTTAAGGTTATAGAACCCGGTCTGTCTTGCATGACTAGAGAGGGGAGAAGAAGAAGAGGATTCATACCTTTCCCAATGATATTAGCACGTAGGTGAATGTAATGGATTCAACTGGAATTCGAACTCGGCTCTCCGTTATCCATTACTCCACCGTGCCTCCTCACTATTTATAGTAGATTCATAAA